AGCATGGGTTTATAGTGTTCAAGCAACGGGCAAAAACTGTAGTTTCTTTCCGTTTTAGGTATTTTTGGCACTCGTGTTAACAAAGCCAATAATTTTATAGATAATCTATATTTTCTTTTTTAACTTCCTCCTCTCTTCATTTCTTTTGCCCACAAAATTCTCTTTTTCATGATCTTTCTGGTCTTTATTAATGCTACTCTGGTAATGGTGTTGCAACAGTGGAGAATTTCCTTTCAACATACATCACTATTTACAGTGTTTTCATTTACACCAGTCATGTCACAATGCTGCACTTTCTCACTCACTGCAGTATTGCTGCTCCTCAGTGCTGCTAAGGCAAAAGCGGAGACTGCAGGACACACAACAGAGCATGGAGGAGGGGGTAGAGTGTATGCACAGACACAGAGTAACTTAAAGGATGAAAAAACTACTGAACTAAGATGAGAGAAACAAAGTAAAGTATTGATTCTATGACGCTATTGATCCAGTACCAATACCACCTTTGGTATCAAAGCTGATCCACCAACTATTATTTACTACTACTGAGTCTCAACTACAAGACTCCTGGTCTGAATCTTTGAGGTCCAGACCCTTTCAAAGACATGCAGCTGTTTTATCTAGAGTGATTAGATTAGCATGTAGGCTAAACACATTAGAACAAACAATAACAAAAAGCTTGTCCATTAGTCTTTTACGGACTCCTTTCATCTGTGTGTTTCTGGTTGGTTTATATGCATCGTATTAACTGATGTTGCCAGTCTGCACAAATTTTTTGTAACTGGCATTCCTCAGCAGTATATAAGGATTTTCTCCCAGTTACCTGCTGTCAGAAACCTGTAAGATATCATGGGTTAATGCCCCAACAAGTCAGTTTCCACAGTAACATGAGGGTTGTTTTGGTGTTGTTGCTGATTGTGTCAGTGATAGATTTACAGAAAAAAAACAAGCTTCTACTTGTCCTTACAGGTGTAGTGTTCTCATACGGGGTCATTTTATTCATATGCAAAACTGGAACATCCCATAAAGTCTATGATTTACTGTGATTGAATAAGCTTTCATGACTCCATCTGTGACATGCTCAATGTTCTGTAAATAAATGATGTTGTCAACACAAACATCAACACAAATCCGGCACAATTGCTTCAGACTTTCCATTGTTTCAGAAAGCCCTAGTTTGCCCATCTCAATTTGCAGGTAACTCAAGTCCAGCCAAGGCACTGAATCAACTCGGAGCACAAACAGGAGAACAAGGTCAGGTAACGAACGCACTCATAAGTTGAGAACCTGATTACCACCACAAGGGTGAAGATGAGCTGGCAAGGAGTAAGGTTTCTGCTGACCCTTTTACTCCCATAAGTGATGTGATAATGGTAAGCAGGCTGGCTGAAAGTGGGTCAGCGCAATGCACCAGCGCCTGCCCAACTCCACCTAAGAATCGATAGAACAAGAAAGAGAGACAGTGGATGCAAAAGAGAGCAGTCCTGCGAGAACCATGACAATCTGCTCTTCTCCTGTTTATGTTCTCAAGGATGAAATCTCGACAATAGGAGCCTCGTGGCTCAGTGCTAATTATAATTGTAAACAACCATGGTTGATTTATGTGAACCACATTTTTTTCAAGTTATTGTTTTGCTCAGAGTTGTGGTAGCTGCAATATGTTCCTATGTTTATCCACTGCTGACATTTGTAAACATGTAAATAGAGCTCAGATAACAATAGAGATCCTCTTGAGATAGCCTCTTTTTTTTTTTTTACTTTCTTGTGTGCATATCGATTCATGTTGCAGTAATGCTTTAAAATGAATAACCATTTAAGGTATTTCAGTACACAATCCCAATTGTAGCAGAACTTTTTTTTGCAGTGTTCTTTTCCTGTCTATCATAAAACTCAAAACATCTGTGTGAAAGCAGTAAAGATAAAAGAAAAGTATAAACTGTAATTAAAAGAGGCCACCCTTTATTTGGAGTCTTTTGACTATTGTGGTTTTTGTTTTTGCTGTTTTTTGTTTTGTTTTGTTGTTTTTTCCAACCAGGCATAACTTTTGGGGTGGATCTGAATGAGAAACCAAGCAACGATCCATGCTCAGTAGTACTAGCTATAAATAACAGAGTACGCCCATTCTGAATCATGTTGTAATTTTTCACTTTATTTGAGGACCATAATTTGTAAAATGAACACCTTGTTGTGTTCAACTCAATTCAAGCATCAAAGACTAGAAAATCACAAGGAACTATTTAAGGACATGTTTAAAGCAGGTCACTTGATAATGCCATATCAGATGAACATCGGGCTTATTTCCCCATCAACAGGCACATACTGCATTTGTTTCCTCCATGACCTTTACTTTTATAACCTAACAAGTTCTGTTAATCTTTTATATACAGTCTAACACTGAGAGGCTGTTTATTTTTCCAATTTACGTTATAGTTTGATGCAAACCTGCATTACATATATAGTTGGAATCAACCCTTACTAAAGCAGCTTGTATCCATCAACCAGTTGGATTGTTGCAAACAAATTAGCTCTCGATTAATTTGTGAGGAATAGATGACATAGAATAGATGACCTCTCCTCTGTTTTACACAGTATTCTGTGTAAAAACCAATCCAATGTGTTCCATTGCATTTCATGGAAAAAGGGGCTGTCCAGATAGCATGCTGTGTGTTGAGGAAATAATATTTTGTTATTATAGTTTGCAAGAGCACCATCAGAATGATCCGAAAACTGAATCTGTAGTAAAACTTTAACACATGTATCAGAGGAAAAGGGAATCCGTCAGAAACAGGCAAGAGCATGTTAGCTTTTAAAATGTAACCAGTCATTATTGTATAATTACCTCTCATTACAGTTTCATTCAACCAATTAACAAAAACAAATATTATCCCTGTTTTCCCCATTCACAATGAGAAGCAGACGACTGTTTCTGCTAAGACATGTTCCTCATGGGTGTGTTTTTTGTAAACTGGACTTCTCTGTGAAGACAGAAATCTAAGAAATAAATCTCTTAAAAACTGAATACATAAAAAAATACATAAAACTTATAGAGCACTTTGAGTACTCCGGGAGAGTAGAAAAGCGCTATATAAGAATTAGTCCATTTACCATTTACCATAAAACCAACATTGTCTTTGTAGATAAACAAGTGACTCAAGTGAGACAGAACACCCTGAGAAAAGAACGCAGCTCGGCAGCTTTCCTTAAACAAACGACGTTGCAACATATTAGAGCTGTAAACACCATTTTCATATCTCAACGCTGCATTTTGTCTTTCCCACTTAAACTTTTGTTTCTAAAAGACCAGAAAACAGTGATTAGTCCCCTTCGCTATTACTTATAGCTCATTATAATTAATCAATTATGTTGATTTGTAACTTCAAAGATAATGATGTATAAGAAATAGCAGTCAAATTTGAAAAATCACTGAAAGAACATAATATTTGTTCCCGATCCATTTTAGCCATCGTTTAACCTTTACGACAAGTCAGTGATACTGATTGAAATAACTTCTGCTTTTCCTTCAGCTTCTCCTCAAGGCACTGAATGAGTACAGGGTCCACTTTGGGGTCAAACTTATTGGCAAACCAGTGGCCATAGTTCAGCAACCAATGCATTTCCGCAGCACCAAATATACAAACGCTGCGAACGTGTGTCCCTGTGCACGGTGGGTACAGCTGCTCCTCCAGGTACTGCCACTTCACCAGCCTGGTTTTGCTCATCAGGTCTGTGATATCAGGCTTGGATCTAGCCACCTCTCCAGGGACACCTGGCAGTCGCACAAGTGTTGCCCAGAAGTGTTCATCTGGGGAGTAGGTGTCCTCTGACCAGGACAAAAAATCTTTCACTACACCTGAGGCATTCATATGCTCAATGAACTTCCGGGAAAGCACAAAGTAGGCGTTTCCAGAGAACACCTCAATATTGTGTGGTGGTGGGTTCTTTACATACTCTGTTTTCACTGGCAGTTTTTGATATTCAAAGCTGGCATCTTTCAGCTCATAGTGAAAGGTGAACCGTTGTTTCTTAGCTGGTGTGGGTCGGCTCGTCTCTAGCATGTTTCTGCCATTCAGTTGCTTTAGTTCTGACACTAGCTCCACGTTGGACTTGAGAGGGAAGTCTTGGCCACAGAGGTTGATGACATACTTCCACTTGACTTCTGAACCCAAAAGGTCAGACAGACAGTTGAGATCAGCCTTTAATCGGCTAATGCTTGCATAATATACTGATTCTTTCTTGCTGGTAATGAAGACATTGGGCAGACACTGGGCCAAACCCTCCATAGCTGATATGAACTGAGCAGAGGACTTTTGATCATAGTGGATACAGTAGATATTACTGGGTGAGTACAGTGCATTGATGAGTCTCTCTACCATCCAGGCAGATTTATGCACAACCAAAGAATAAGCAATAGGAAAGTCTTGCTCCTCTTCTGTGGCACACACATTATCATAACCCCTGTACTTTCTGAATAAAGTACAGTTAGAGGTAAGATAAGCTAGACTTTCATCTTTAATCTCCACAACGTCTTTCTTTTTGATCAGCAGAGATTTCCCCACCTCCACTGGGTCCATGTCATAAATAGCAGAGCAATCAATATTGTACTTGGGAATTATCTGCATGTCCGTACCAATATGTGAAGGTTCAGTGATGTAGCTGTGCTTGACACAGACCAATAGCAGGATGGATATAGTCAGCAATGACAGGAGGGAAGGAAGGAACTGCTTTCGTCTTAGTCGCAGCGATAAACATCGCATGGTCATTCTGTAGTGCGAGAAAACACAACATGAAGGAACATAAACCCAACTGATAATGTTATTCTTCAGAAATACCTAACCACCAAAAAAAAAATGTTCAGTTTCTTTTAGAATAGGGTTACTCCATATTTGTTTATTTTGCAATAACTTTAGCACATCCAGTGAAACCTTGCAAAGACAAACAGATTCAACAGAAGCTTCTACCCACAGTCTGTCAAACGTGCCCTACCTACACCCTGATTGAAGGTTAACTGTGCTGCTAACACTCAAGGACACTCGCACTATATTTATAAACTGTATTTATTACAGTATAACATACATACACACACACACATACATACGTACGTACGTACGTACGTATGTATGTGTATACAACTTGTGCATATCCTTTTTGTGTACATTCTCTGTGCTCTCCATTCTGCCAATGGAGAGATGACAACTGTGTTTCATTGTTCTGGTAACAGTGACAATAAAAATCTATCTTTTCTTATCTTATCTTATGTTACCTTCATAGAAGTGTGACAAGTGTCCAAAAGAAAGAAAGTGTCACTTCGTAACGCCAATTGCACAAGATTTGATACATGAGTTTGTGAGACTTCATCACTTTTTCCCTAACAAAACTGATTTTAATTTATTTTTAAGCAATAAATAGATGTGGCAAAAATTATACAAATGCATACATAGATGTAAATTTATATTCAATTGATTTTTTTTAATGGTCGGAAGGTTCAATAAATTCTCTGGTTTTAAAAAAATAAAACAAATATTCTATCAACAATTATTTACTTAAGAATTTCTGAGGAAACACAGAATCAGGTTTCACCAACTCCTAAGTACGCTTGTAATATAGTGTATTATCTTACTTTTTTTCATTGATTGTACTTATTTGTGTTTTTGTATTTCCTTCATATATTTGTACCTGAGCTGAGGTGACGCAAAAATTTCCCCGTTGTGGGATTAATAAAGTCTTATCTTATCTTATCTTAATACTTACAGTTTCTACAGTACAAAGGTAACATTTTGCATTTCTTTATTGTATATGCTGACGTTATTATTCACGAAATAAAACAGAAAACAGGGTCTTATTCAGATCTGACATATATGATTTTTTTTCTTTATATAATGAGAAGTATACAACACACAGAGAGACATCTAGTTGCTATTAAAAATACCTTTACGTTTGGAAATTTAGTTTTACAGATTTCACATGGATATAGTTGCCTCATTGTCATTTGCTTTGAAAATTCATAGGCCTAGTTTTAAAAAACAAAACAAAACCCCCCCAACATCTCCCGATTCAAAACAGGAGATATTCGTCTGAAATTTATAAGTGTGCCCTTAAAAAGAGTGACCAAAACACAAAGGTGACGTGAATATACACTAGAAAAGAAGTTAAAATGAGTTATCCAATTCAGAGTGGACGATAATAAATAAATAAATAAATAAATAAATAAGATCAAAACAGCTTATTCCAAACTTCTAAACGTGCGATATGTTTATTGTTGTTTGAAGACTATCATTGCAAATACCTTCAATAAAAACAACGGAACACCACAGAATATATAGCTTATATGATCTCATCTCTTTAAGCAGACAGAAAGAGACAGAAGTGAAATTGGGAGGCAGTTGCCATCTATGATATAGCAAACGGAAGAGCTAATTTAGATGTGATGGATACCTTCCATACTGTGAAAAGCCCTCACCTTGCTGTTCACGCTGGTGCCGGTCTCCCCAAAAGACCTGGCAAGCAGTTTTTAAACCTGAAAGTTGTCAAAACGTGGGTTCAATGCAAATGTTCTGTCTTCGCTGCTTCGACAGTAAAACTTCGACTCACAAAAGTGAAGAATGAAAAAAAGGAAGAATGAAAACTTACCTGTCAGAAAAAAGAGTGGGCATTCGTCTTCCCTGCCCTTCCACTTTTCCCACACTGCTGTCGCGACATCTGTGGACAACGCAAACTTGAAGAAATGTCTGATTACACGTTGTTAATCAGCGGAAACCGTGTTCAGAAGAAGCGCGACAAGCTGTCATAACCGCGCTGAGCTGAGGACCACAGGACAGAGACGCGCTGAGAAATAACCCGGAAAAGAGGGAGGGGTTCAGGAAACTAATTACAGCTCAAGTTAAAAAAAAAACCGAAAGAAAGAAACGAACTGAAAAGCAAGAAAAAGCAGAAAGACGTGTTTTGTGTGTAATCATTGGTTTGTCTCTGTAGTAGGTAAAAAAACAAAAAAACAAAACTTTTTTTAAGAGGGGGGAAGGAGCAAATAAAAAATGGTTTCCCCTGCAAATGCGCTTTACTGAAACGACTGCTTCCTGAACAAATCTGGTTAAAATAGTTTGAATTAAAACCCCGTGTCTGGAGTCATCTGAACTCACTAAGGGAAGGGTGAGAAGGAAGAAAGCTCTACCAATCGTGGGAGCTCTCAAGACTTAAAACTTGGAGGTGGTGTGTGAGAAAACTCAACAGTGAGGTCATTTCTATGTTTTTTGGGGGGTGGGGGGTGGAGAAAGAATAAAAAAAAAATCAATCTACGACGGTCGTTCAGTGACTTGGCTTTGTTCTGAAATAATACAATCCTGATTATCTCTTTATGACAGAAAAGCAAACTAATTCTTCAAAAGAATTCTAAGATACTGGCTTAAACGCATTTAAACTATAATCAACCTATTAAAACACACGTGAAAATTCAATATGCTACCTACGCGAGTGACTAATATGAGCCAGGTTGGAATGTAGATTGGTGATTTTGCTGGGTCATAAATGTCAACTCAAAGTCATGCAGATTGGTTATTATTATCAGTAATGCCATGAAAGTCATACTTAAATACACCATGCAAAACAAAAGTCCAAGCATTTGTTGAAAAAAAAAAAAAAGCATAGCGTGCAGGTGTGCAGGCATATTGGTCTGAGGTGTGTCTTTTGTTTCTTCTCTCTTCAAGTTGGTTTTATGAAGCTAACCTAGAAAACAAAAACACAAAGAAACTGAAAGAGACACCGGAAATCACTTGCGTTTTTTTTTTTTTAGTTTTACATGTGACACAACTAACAGAGAGCCATTAAACCCAGTCACATGCTTTATTATACTTTAGAAACAAATATTGAAAATGAAATGCAATGCAAATGCTGTTTTTAAACCAATGAATCTATTTATAAATGAAAGAAAAATTACTTTCAAAAATTAAAAGAAAAATTAAAACCCCCACCGGGATCTGCTCACGCTCTCACCCACTCTCTGTGTGTCTTCCGAGAATAAGCCTCGCTTCACTGAGCATGTGCGAGAGGAAAACAAATACTGTTTCCATTTATTACAGTCATCACCAAACAGTGGTTGCTTAACACTACCACGATATTTTCATATAAGAAAAGCTCATAAAAGTTCTCATAAGAGTTTGACACTGTTGGAAATATAAAATTTCCACATCCAACAAGATGAAAGGACAATCATTTTTTTAACTATCTTACAGTCTTTTCTGCTCAGAAATGTTCTTTAAATACTGTTGTACAGTGTCCTTGGGTGCTTTGAAAGGCGCTATTTAAATAAAATGTATTATTATTATTATTATTATTATTATTATTATTATTATTAAATACAATAAAGGTGAAAGGATTACGCCTAGCTGGTTTATATGATTATAATGTTGTGGCTGTGAATATGTTGTAATACAGGGAGTGCAGAATTATTAGGCAAATGAGTATTTTGTCCACATCATCCTCTTCATGCATGTTGTCTTACTCCAAGCTGTATAGGCTCGAAAGCCTACTACCAATTAAGCATATTAGGTGATGTGCATCTCTGTAATGAGAAGGGGTGTGGTTTAATGACATCAACACCCTATATCAGGTGTGCATAATTATTAGGCAACGTCCTTTCCTTTGGCAAAATGGGTCAAAAGAAGGACTTGACAGGCTCAGAAAAGTCAAAAATAGTGAGATATCTTGCAGAGGGATGCAGCAGTCTCAAAATTGCAAAGCTTCTGAAGCGTGATCATCGAACAATCAAGCGTTTCATTCAAAATAGTCAACAGGGTCGCAAGAAGCGTGTGGAAAAACCAAGGCGCAAAATAACTGCCCATGAACTGAGAAAAGTCAAGCGTGCAGCTGCCAAGATGCCACTTGCCACCAGTTTGGCCATATTTCAGAGCTGCAACATCACTGGAGTGCCCAAAAGCACAAGGTGTGCAATACTCAGAGACATGGCCAAGGTAAGAAAGGCTGAAAGACGACCACCACTGAACAAGACACACAAGCTGAAACGTCAAGACTGGGCCAAGAAATATCTCAAGACTGGTTTTTCTAAGGTTTTATGGACTGATGAAATGAGAGTGAGTCTTGATGGGCCAGATGGATGGGCCCGTGGCTGGATTGGTAAAGGGCAGAGAGCTCCAGTCCGACTCAGACGCCAGCAAGGTGGAGGTGGAGTACTGGTTTGGGCTGGTATCATCAAAGATGAGCTTGTGGGGCCTTTTCGGGTTGAGGATGGAGTCAAGCTCAACTCCCAGTCCTACTGCCAGTTTCTGGAAGACACCTTCTTCAAGCAGTGGTACAGGAAGAAGTCTGCATCCTTCAAGAAAAACATGATTTTCATGCAGGACAATGCTCCATCACACGCGTCCAAGTACTCCACAGCGTGGCTGGCAAGAAAGGGTATAAAAGAAGAAAAACTAATGACATGGCCACCTTGTTCACCTGATCTGAACCCCATTGAGAACCTGTGGTCCATCATCAAATGTGAGATTTACAAGGAGGGAAAACAGTACACCTCTCTGAACAGTGTCTGGGAGGCTGTGGTTGCTGCTGCACGCAATGTTGATGGTGAACAGATCAAAACACTGACAGAATCCATGGATGGCAGGCTTTTGAGTGTCCTTGCAAAGAAAGGTGGCTATATTGGTCGCTGATTTGTTTTTGTTTTGTTTTTGAATGTCAGAAATGTATATTTGTGAATGTGGAGATGTTATATTGGTTTCACTGGTAAAAATAAATAATTGAAATGGGTATATATTTGTTTTTTGTTAAGTTGCCTAATAATTATGCACAGTAATAGTCACCTGCACACACAGATATCCCCCTAAAATAGCTAAAACTAAAAACAAACTAAAAACTACTTCCAAAAACATTCAGCTTTGATATTAATGAGTTTTTTGGGTTCATTGAGAACATGGTTGTTGTTCAATAATAAAATTATTCCTCAAAAATACAACTTGCCTAATAATTCTGCACTCCCTGTATACTGGATGCAAATTAATAATGAGACCTTTGGATGGAAAATATTCCTGCTAGTGTTGTATATAAGAAGAAAAGTCAGATTAGGAGCCATAACAGGAGCTGGAGGGTTGGGCCAACAAAAAAAAGAAAAAGAAAAAAATGCTGTTAGACTGCTGTAAACCTATCCAAGAGCCACCTTCTGCACACTGTGAAAGGCCACTCTGTCTCTGCCAAGTTCCCAGCCTGGCTCCAGGTTTTCATACATAAGCACAGCTTTATGTAGGAGTGACCACTATGTGAGCACAATATAAACACAAATATTTCAGGTCTTGAAGCTTGATTCAAGCAGCTAGATCAAGGGCCTTCTTCACAAAATATCCTTGGACTAAAAGTCGATTATGACAGATTCAGTAAGTAGGTAAATAATTACGTAAGGAGTTATTTGATCAAAAAATGTTGAGGCAGTCTTTGTAGGCAAATGAAGGCAATGAATAAGAAAAAAAAAAACTCGTATTAGACAACTCAGCATCTAGCTACAGCTCTGTGAAAAAGTATTTACCTCCTTCCTGATTCCATAGCTTTGTTTTTTCATAAATGTTCGCACTCAAACCAAATTTAATATTATACAGACATAATCCAAGTAAATACAAAATGCAGTTTTTAAAATTAAATGGAGCAGTGTGGTTATTAGCACTGTTGCCTCACAGCAAGAAGGTTCTGAGTTCAATTCCACCACCTGGTTGGGGCCTTTCTGTGTGGAGTTTGCATGTTCTCTCTGTGTAAGAGTGGGTTCTCTCTGGGCACTCCAGCTCCCACACATGTCCAAAGCCATGCAGTAGTGGGGTTAGGTTAATTGGTAATTCTAATTGGTAACTCATGAATGTGAGTGCGAATGGTTGTCTGTCTCTATGTGTTAGATGTGCAACAGACTGGCGATATGGTGGCTGGGATGGGTGATCCTGACAAAGATAAGTGGAAAGGAATGAATGGATGATATTTTTTTTAATTATGATTTCATTTATTAAGGCAGAAATGCTACCCAAATGTCCTCTCTTTGGATGTTATCAGATGTTATCTGTCCATTCAATGGATGCTTGGAAAGACAGAAGAACCCAGAAAAACATTTAAAGAACTGCAGGCTACTCTCACGTATGGTCAGTGTTCATGATTCAACAATAAGACAGACACTGATCAAAAATGGCATCCATGGGAAAGTTCCAAGGAAATTACCACTGCTGACTAAAAATAACACAAAGATTAGTCTCGCATTTACAAAAAAATGTCTTGATGATCCCCAAGACTTTTGGGAAAATATTCTGTGGACTGATGAGAAAAAGTGGTTTTTGAAAGGATGAGAAGTTTTTGAAAGGTTTGAGTCCCGTTACATCTGGGGTAAAACTAACACAGCATTTCAGAAAAAGATCATCATATCAACAGTCAAACGTGGTGGTGGTAGTGTGATGGTCTGGGCATCCTTTGCTGCTTAAGGACCTGGGTGAATTGATGGAACCATGAATTCTGCTTTTTACCAGAAACTGCAAAAGGAGAATGTCCAGCCATCAGTTTCTACCTTAAAGCTGAAGCACACTTGGGTTATGCAGCAGGACAAAGATCCAAAATACCGCAGTAATAAATAAATAAATAAATAAATAGAATGAAGGTTTTAAAGTGACCTAAAGAAAGTCTGGACTCAAAAACGAATGGAAATCTTTGGTGTGACATTAAACAGGTTATTTAAGCTCCAAACCCTTTAATGTAGGTGAATTTAAACAATTATACAGACGAGTGGGCTAAGATTCTTCCACATTGCCATTGTCATTGTTATCACCCAGTTATTGGGTTTAGGAAGCTTTTTTTTTTTTTTTTTACATGGGGCCAGGTAAGTTTGAATAACCCTTTCCCCATAAATAAATGAAATCATAATTTAAAAACTGCATTTTTGGTTACTTAGATTATCTTTGTCTAATATTTATTTGATTACTAAGAAATCAGGAAGCGGACAAATACTTTTTTAAAAAGAAATCTCGCTGGGCAAAAGTAGGCCACTACCTTCGTCTTTGAATGAAAAAAAGCAGAGACGTGATCCACATGAACAGCGCTGATAAAAGCCACAGATGCAGACAACGACCTCTGATTATTCTTGAGGGCTTGTTTGTGTTAAATAAAATAAAATACACTGTACTACTAAACTACTAAACGGTATAACGGCAACAGCCTCTATTAACTCAGCAGGAGCTTGGAGCCGGAAGCAGGGTTCATACGTCAGGACTTCACAAGCGGATTGACGTCAGTATTTCCGGATCGCCATATTAGTTTCATTACATCAGATCAGGCAATGTAGCAGGCTAAGCGATTTGTGGGAAGGGCACTGTCGCTATGGAAAGGACTCTCTGACCACGAAGAAACTCTTTGTATGTTTACAGGTTTCCGTATAATGCAGAGTAGTACTTAAAATGTAATGAGCCAGGGAGATTAAGTTATTTTGGTGACAGGCTGTAAAATTAGTCAGCGTAGCTAATGTTGACCGATGTTACGGTAACTAGCATTAGCTAAGCTGCGCTAATATAGCCTCAGTGTGTTAACATCTAGGTAATGCTAACCAGGAGTATCGCAATGATACCTTTGTGAATCCTATTGTTTAAATCCTTTTGACAGCACTGCGGCAACCGAGTGTGTATATTAAACTTGACGATCGTCTTTCACTATATTTCGCCATCATCACACAAGCTGCATTTTGATTTTAAAGCCGTACAGAAGTCAGACTTGCTAACTACCAGTGACTGGACAATGTTCTTGTAACGCAGGTGATTCTGGGATCTTGTGTAGTAGGAAGATATCCTGAGACCATGTTGGCACGTCTATTTAGACTTCATGGGTTGCTGGTGGCCTCGCACCCATGGGAGGTAATCGTGGGGACCCTGGCTTTGACAGTATGCTTCGTGTCTATGAACAGCCTGGCAACAAGCAACCAGATGTGCAAGTGGAACCAATGCCCCAAAGTTGAGGAGGAGGTGAGGCTGGTGTGGCACTCTCTAAGAAATGTTGTCGGAGTTTTGTAAAATGGTAAATGGCCTGTATTTGTATAGCGCTTTTACTTACTCCCTATGGACCCTAAAGATCTTTACACTACATTCAGTCATTCACACACATTCACACACATGTGATGGCAAGCTACATTGTAGCCACAGCTGCCTTGGGGCGCACTGACAGAGGCGAGGCTGCTGGACACTGGGGCCACCGGGCCCTCTGACCACCACCAATAGGCAACGGGTGAAGTGTCTTGCCCAACGACACAACGTCCGAGCCGGGGCTCGAACCAGCAACCTTCCAATTACAAGACCAACTGCCAACTCTTGAGCCACGATCGCCCCTGAGGGTCTACACTAATGTCTGTTTTGTTTTTTTTTCTTGCAGAAAATCCAGAGCAGTGATGCAGTTATTCTGACAGTCACTCGGTGCATGGCCATTATTTATATTTATTTCCAGTTCAAGAATCTCAGACAGCTTGGATCCAAATATATTCTAGGTCAGTATCATGAGATGTTTGTTGGGTTTTTTTCCCCCAGTTTTGGACAGTAGTAAACACTTCTTCTCACATCATACAGATTTGTTTTGGCTATATAATCACCACTCATTAGTGGCCACAGTTTTTCTTTTACTACTTTCCAGCTTCAGCTGTTTGAATTGCCATAAAATGTTGTCAGTGGATTTAATATAGAACATAATTTTAATGTATTACATTTTTAACCCCAAACTACTTGGGTTGGTTTGTTTCTTTGCTTTTCATTTAGACTGAAAAACAAATGACTGGCTAGCAAATTTATCATAAAAATACACCAACATTCCATTTCTCCTCCGTCTCCAGGTATTGCTGGATTATTTACAGTATTTTCCAGCTTTGTCTTCAGTACAGTCGTCATCCATTTCTTTGGGAAGGAGCTGACAGGTCTGAAGTAAGTGTTTCCAATGGACTCACATATACGCTAGGAGAGTGGTTCTTAAAGTGGTCTGTGACATATTGAGAGTGTACATAGGCAGTGGATTATTTTAGCAATTAAGTATTCTATGAAATTATTATTCTGTTGATTAACATAGTTAATCCAGTAAGAAACACCTTTGTGTTATTAATGAGCAATAATAAATATAAGTAAGAAAATAAGTAAGGATATGCATGTTGTCCCTTTTCAAGGTTATGCAAAGAGTTTCAGTTAGACTGATGATGAGGCTGAGCTTACAGAGCTTTAACTTGCTGCCAGCTTACTTTGTTGTCAAAAGTTATTACTTTTTCTGTGTTGACTATAGGGGAGGCCTTCTTTCTGCAAATGATTGTTAGTGAGAGGGTTTTTTTTAAATCACTAATCCATGTTAAAACTAGTTGCGTAGCTAACACAGTTGGTAGTAGCAGGATAAGAGGCAGCTAATGTGCTAGTGAGATCAGGTAGATAAAATAGTTAACATTTACCAGCAGGGTGATGTACACATTGTTTCACAATTTTAGGGCAATACATTTGAAGCTCTGCAGCTCCTTTATATTAGAGACAAGGATTTAATTCAGCTGTAAGATTAAGTTCACTGATCTGTAATTGTAAGATGACACTGAAGGAAAGTATTCCAGGTCACTCCCTGGCTGACACTTGTCTGCTCTCTCTGCAGTGAAGCGCTGCCCTTTTTCCTCCTGCTTATTGACCTGTCTAGAGCCTGTGCGTTGGCTAAATTTGCCCTCAGCTCAAACTCTCAGGTAATTTCGCACATATTTGGTCTTACCATATGTATGAAATGTGACTTTATTTATATGGGGGACATAAGTGTAAAGCATCCTTAACTAACGAATTGGTCTTGTGTGTTGGGAATAGGAGGAGGTGAGGGAGAACATTTCTCACGGCATGGCCATCCTGGGCCCAACATTCACCCTGGATGCTGTGGTTGAGTGTCTGGTTATAGGAATCGGAACCATGTCTGGTAAGGATTACTGCTGTTTCTCCACCTATAAGCATCATCAGTGATGCTCTGTGTGTTAGAAATATTGTGGTTATGCTTGATCGAGTAGAAAAGCAGAAGTCAGCTGTGTTTCTTCCTTTTTTCTAGGTGTGCCTCAGTTGGAGATCATGTGTTGTTTTGGCTGCATGTCTGTTCTGGCCAATTACTTTGTCTTCATGACGTTCTTCCCTGCCTGTGTCTCTCTGGTGCTGGAGGTGAGATGTGCATGCAACAATTTGGAGAAATAAACACAGATAAGATAAGGAAACAAGTTGCTAGAGTTTAACTGTGATATATATTTTTTTATTAATATTTTTTGTGGTCCTGCATATTTGTGTGTAGCTGTCAAGGGAGAGTCGTGAGGGGCGCCCCATCTGGCAGCTGAGCCACTTCTCCCGTGTGCTAGCTGAGGAAGAGGATAACAAACCCAATCCTGTGACTCAAAGGGTTAAAATCATAATGGTGAGTTCCCATCATCTATGGTGGGGATGTTTATTTAGATTAGTCTTCAACATTGTGTATTATAAAGCATTTTTAGGTCTGAACGATGATGCCTGTGTGATGTTGTCTTTCAGTCTCTGGGATTGGCTTTGGTTCATGCTCACACTCGACTGACAGCCGAACATTCAGGTCAAAACCGCACAGTGGAAGGGCCTGTAGCAAAGAGACTGGACTCTCCTAGCACCATATTGCCTCTTAAGCTCACCAGGTAAACCATGGAATATTGCAATGTTTGCATTATTGATTCCTGCGTCCACTGATATATGACTTTTTCTCTCTCCAGTATCGACCTGGAACAGGTGATAACCCTCGGTCTTGCTCTGATTCTGGCCGTAAAGTATGTATTTTTTGAGCAAGCAGAGACAGAGTCCTCGCTTTCACTCAAGAGTACCATTATAAGCTCCACTCCCAGTCCGAAGCCCTGGGTGACAGAGGACTGCTGCATGAGGTCCCTCCCAGCCCTGAAACCCCAGAAGACATCTAATAGTGTTTTGGCAACCATCCCTACCTCTTTAGCAGCTGCTTCAGACGTGAAACTTTCCTCTGAAGCTGACATATCATTTAGAGAAGAGGGTGAGACTCGTAGCGGGTGCTTCTAGCTTTGATAACGCGTGTACCCAGTGATGAAGATGATCTAACTGCTGTGTTTTTTCATGTGATTCCTCTGCTGCAGATGTGATTCAGAATGCATTTTGTGGTACATCTTCTGGGGATTCTCTTGCTCAGACACAATGTGCTCCTCCAAGTGTTTGTACGTCGGAGCCCCGAAGTCTGGAGGAATGTATGGCCATCCTCTCAGATTCTCAGGTAAGTTGTCAGGTTATACTGGAAGCACAATACAAAGCTAGATATATGATGTTCTGTGTTCCTCAGATTCTTCAAAAATATTACTGTTTTGCCCACGATTCTTTCCAGAGAGGTGCCCATTTGCTGAGTGATGCAGAGGTGATGAATCTTGTAACCCTGCGCAAGATTATGAATTATAAACTTGAAGGTGTCCTTGAGACTCCAGAGAGGGGCGTGGCCATCAGGAGAGAACTGTTATCATCCAAACTTCCTGTTCCCACTGCCTTGGCTTCTCTACCTTACAAAGACTACAACTACTCACAGGTACTGACAGTCCTTTTAAAGTGTAGTCCTGTTTATTCTTGGGAAAAATGTTTATCTTCAGTTGTCAGTTTTAAATCATATATATATATAATATTTTTATTTTTTTATTTTTTTTTTTAAATCAAATGTTTTTATGTTCATTTTTTTCTTTACTCTGTTCTTAGTTGTGCTTAGTTTGTGTTGTCTTTGCCTTTTAGGTGATGGGTACTTGCTGTGAGAATGTCATTGGCTACATGCCAGTGCCAGTGGGAGTGGCTGGCCCTCTTCTGTTGGACAAGAAGGAGTTTTATGTTCCTTTGGCCACCACAGAAGGCTGCCTGGTAGCCAGCGCCAACCGAGGATGCAGGGCACTTTTTGTAAGTGTGTCTCGTGTGGAGCCCTGAGGGAAGAGTAACTATCTTTTCAGTAGATGCAAATAAATAAATCTACAGGGTTTGTAGATTCATGGAAAAACTGACAAGTCATAGAATTTGGCAATGGCAGTCAAGAAAGATTAATAATATAGAAGGTTATGTGGTTCAGTTAGCATGGACTTAAAAAACTCTATATGTAGTAAATAATACTTCAGTGTTTGGGCAGAGGAAACATCACTGACCAGAAAGTCATGTGTAAATTTGTGGCGTGCCAGGAATATAATGTCTGATGTCTGGCCACTTGTGAATAAATCACAAGTCTTGATAAGCCAAAGTGCGAGGTCCTTTAATCTGCGTTATGTCTAATGACCAGCAGGTGGCAGTGAATCTGATTGCTAAAATAAGTCTAGTTGATCTGTGACCTCAGTAAAGACTTTCCTGAGGAGTTATTAGCTTCAGTTGCAGGTTTCCATTGCAGTCAAAAAAAAAAAAGAGATTAAAGCAGTTTATAGGTTGTGGTGTGCCTCTCTTCTGACCGAGTCATTTCAAAACATCAAGGCAGGAATTGTGAAAGCACTCAGCATAAAACTAGATTTTTGATATCAGTGTGGCTATCGTCCATCCTCTATAAATGGTCTCAGCTGATAAGGTGAGTAATTAATTGCTAGGCTTGGGAGTTCAGTTGATGTTGTTTTTACTTAGGGAATCTGTGCATGTGAGTCATTGTAGCAAAACCCTGGAGAGGTGTTGTGCACTTTGCCCTTAATTATTGGGTCTGTGTGATGTCACTACAATGCTCAAGAAAGATGGTTATTTTAAAAACTAACCTAAATCTAAAAACGTAAAGTGTGGTTTGGGTAAAAAACCCCAAACAATTTATGAACCAAAACTAAAATGGTATGGCTAATTGAATGGCAGGTAGTGAAACTGATTTGGACTTTTATCGCCCTCCTATATGCAGCCAGTTTTACAGGATGTAAGGTCATAAAAAAGGTCATCCTCACTGCAATGGAAAATTATTGTATCTAACTCTGGCTGCTGTTATTTCTGTGTGTGCTCCCTGCTGACAGTGTTTTCTTTCCTGTCCAGCTGAGTGGGGGTTGCATCAGCCGGATTCTAGCTGACAGCATGACCAGGGGTCCTCTGGTCAGGCTGCCCTCAGCGTGCCGGGCTGCAGAGGTCAAAGTCTGGCTTGAGACCTCGGACGGATTTAGCATGATTAAAGAGGCGTTTGATGAGACCAGCAGGTCAGTGGAAGAGCTATGACTGATTGATGACTGTGGCAAAGTGTTTTTCGTACACAGATGATAACTAGTGAGTACTCTTTGTAGGTTTGCTCGTCTGGAGAAATTGTTGGTGGGCATAGCTGGCAGAAACCTATACATTCGCTTCCAGTCTCAAACAGGCGATGCCATGGGTATGAACATGCTCTCGAAGGTATGAGAAGTCTTCTGTAATTCGGTCTTGTTATTTAAATGTTGACTTCAGTGCTGAGTGCTTCCTGTGTCTTTTTCTTCAGGGCACTGAGCATGCTCTGCATGTACTCCAGCAGCAGCATCCAGACGTAGAGGTGCTTTCGCTCAGTGGCAACTTTTGCACAGACAAGAAGCCTGCCGCAATCAACTGGATTCTGGGCCGAGGCAAGTCTGCTGTATGCGAGGCCACCATTCCTGCTAAAGTTGTGAGAGAGGTAAAAACAATTCAAAGCTGGATCCTGACAGAAATCTAATGACAGCGGCCATAGTTTCTTCCCCTCCAGTTTTTCTGTAGTTTGTAAAAATCACCCTTTAATGTTTCCCCAGGTGCTGAAGAGCAACACAGCTGCTTTGGTGGACCTGAACATAAACAAGAACTTGGTGGGGTCAGCCATGGCTGGCAGTATAGGTGGCTTCAATGCTCATGCTGCCAACATTGTCGCTGCTATCTACATTGCCTGTGGACAAGTAATAGAACCTAAAATTAACACAAAAAAATAAAATAAATACATTTAAAAAAAGGTTTAAATAGTGAAACATTATGTCTGTGGCATGGTATATGATCCAACAAAAAGACATATTATTAAACAAGTATTTGTTTGTGTTGTGGTTAAGGACCCAGCTCAGACAGTGGGAAGCTCTAACTGCATTACTCAGATGGAGGCTGTCGGTCCAGGTGGGGAGGACCTGTACATCAGTTGCACTATGCCTTCTATAGAGCTCGGCACTGTGGGAGGAGGCACCAACCTGTCGCCACAGCAGGCCTGTCTGCAGGTAGTCTCAACTACATGTAACATAGCTGCCATTTGTTGATGCGTTTTTAGGATATTTTTTCTCCTCTAACACCAAACCTCTGTACCTGCAGATGCTTGGTGTTAGCAATCCCAACCAGCCAGGTGACAATGCCCGTCAGCTGGCCCGTGTAGTCTGTGCCACTGTTCTGGCAGGAGAGCTCTCCCTGATGGCTGCTCTCGCTGCTGGACATCTAGTCAAGAGCCACATGACCCACAACAGGTGAGATGTCTCATTCTTTTGGGTTTTTTACAGCGATGCCTGGTCAGATTTGAGAATTTTTGCCGTTTTATTTTCATGTCGTGTGTTTTTTAGTAAAATGAGTTGGCATGTCTGTTCTAAGAAGCAAGCATACCATAACCAGCATCTCCTTTCATTATATGGCTTTACTTACCCTGACTGACAGAGAGCAAAGCATTCACACGAAGGTGGTTAACCACAATCCAATTAGTCAAACCAGAGTTTCCCAATACAGCTGTGTGAATGTTATTGTGAAAGGTGTGTTGCTGTCAGCATCTGACCAATCAAAAACGTGGACAGGCTGCCCGTGTAAAGTCAACGGACTCGTCAGTGTCAGAGCTTCATAGTGAAGACTGAGTGATCACAATTGTGTATTCGGCCAAATGAATATGTTGTGTAGTTTTTACAATTAGCCCTCCAGGATAAGTTATCAAAGAAATTCAGTTTACTTATTAGAAGGATATATTTTTGCCTCAAAAGGATTACAAAGGCCTCACAAATGTGTGCTCCAATCCACAAAGACATACGAAGCAATTTGACCACAAGTAAAACTTTTTTTAACAAATGCATCCAAACCTGGAAAAAAGGTGATTGTTTACTACACACACTCTTAAATTTAACATCACAAATCAGGCAATTTTTTTTTCTTTCAAAAACCTTTTTGTGCATTTAAATGTCTAAAACTACATGTAACATCCCTCTCACTTACAAAACCTTAAATGTGTGTGCACAGTCACCTGATATACACTGATCACATGACATGCCACATGAGGTTTTGTCATATCTTTAAAGTCTCTTGTTTTCAAATGTAAAATCCAGAGTCTCTACATTTTGTTCCTAAAAAAATGTTTTGAAGTCTGGTTTTTCCAAAGTGCATCCAAAATAGCCCATACTTATAATGTAAATGATCACCGTTTAAGTTTTCCTTTGTTGATATCTGTTAGTGTTTTATTGTGTCCACTTTGAAATGATCTCTTTTTTTTGTCTCTTAGATCGAAAACAAACCTGTGTTCAGAGAATACGGCGTGACACTAACATCGATGGGCCGTCGTGATGCGGTTCTAAAAGCGAACCTGTGGACATCAAGATATCAGAGTGTTAATGAACAGAGCCAACATGTGCTTGCTTTGTTTTATTACCTCACTGGTTTGTGAGCTGAGGCCTTAAGTTTTGGTTGTTAATTTGTGCCATTTTTCTGCATCTGAACTTTGTAATATTGTTTGAGAACCTGTTAATTCTGTTACTGATCTTTGAGAGAAGTGCAAGAGACTGATGGTGTTTAGACAAGTAAAATCCATCGTGCTGCACAAGTTACAACAAGAGTCCTGTGCCTCTGATGGGTCGCAAAGGATGGATGGGATGTCTGAATGGTTTTTACATAAGCTGAATGAAATGAGATCATCGTTTTTATTTATTTTTTTTGGGACAAATGGATCTTTGCATTTATCAAAAGCTTGCTTGAGAGAGTGTAGTGTGCAGCTTGTGCTCAGGTTCTGAAAGTCAACTTTATGTGCAAATGTGTTTTTACCAGTGTTGTAGGCATCACTATGTAGACATGCTCATCCCTCCCTGAGTGAAGGTGCTACTGTATACTGTGTATACTGTAGATTGCCCGTGGGTGTTGGAATTCTCGCTTCAATGAATGAAGCTGTTGCCAGCAGAAGGATGTGTTTGGTTCAGATTCTGATCAACTACTTCTACAAGTTTTTGAGGAAAATTGGAAGCCATAATAATTAAATAAACCTTTACGGTACACTGTCATCTGTGGAACTGAAGGACTGGGTATAAATTATCACTGACTGCAGGTCCTGCTCATTTTCAGAAAGCAGTGACATTCAGAAGTGCCCTTACATACAGTATGTTTTAGAAATTGAGCCTTGCGCTGCACACTTTAGAATAACCAATTATGATAAAAGTAAACTTAACTGTCTTATTTAAAAAAATAAATAAATGACACAATTTTTTGTTGACAATACCGTGTTTGTCTTTCTTTAACATTACCAAGACTGGAATCAACACTTGGGGCCTTTTCCAGTTAGCAGATGAACAAACTGAGTCAAATACAGGCTTAAGAGAGAGACGAGGCACTTAAAGAAGCCTGACAGGAAATCTATTCTAACACAGTAAAGACTGCATTAGACTTCCAGGAGGAGAAAAGAAAAAGCTTTTTAAAAACCTAATATGGGGGTAAAGCTAAGTTATTGTAATAACTGGTGATTCTATGCACATAGTTTATTTGAAATGAAAAGTAATTTTATGTTCAAATGGGTGCCTTGGCAGTTTGTTTGTTTTTTTTAAATGCAGTGGATGCCCTTCATCATACAACCCCGAAGGGATTTAGTGTCTCCTCCAAGAATCAAATCAGGACTCTTTCACTTGTTAGGCAAATGTGTAACCCACTACATTATGGAGCCAACAGAATTATGTTATACACATACAAAATACAAAAAATGGCAACAAATGACCCCAAACAATACAAACTGGAGGATAAACTTATTTATTCCACTTTAAAAACAGGGCAGAGCCATGTTATCACAGTACATTTATAAGTTGATCCCACAGCATAAGTATAAACAGATTTACAAAAAAAAAATCAAATTACATTCGGATTTGACAAACCTGTATTACAAATGCCTGTTTTAGGTGAATGAGCTTCAGCATGGTGTTGTTACTCTTAGCTGCGTGGCTGAGCATCATTTTATATCGCCAACATTTTTCAGCAAAGAGCTTGAAAAAAATTAAATGCTTTTGAGTTAAGCCTGAAACAGCTGCCAATGACACCACCCCAGAAAAACAAAGAAAAAAAACAAAACACTGTGCTCTCAACAGGTGAAAATGCAACTTAAAAAAAAAAAAAAAAAAGTACCCTGGCAACAATACTGATATCTTAAATTTGAAACTTGTAGGGAAAAGAAATCTTTATCCATCCTGTGTGCTTGACAAAAAGAACTTGGCTTTTAACATTTACATTTTTACATTTACTTAAATGTTTAGCAGTGTATTACATGAAAACTGTTCCTAGAAAAAAACAAAACAAAACAGGGATGCACTTCTTGTGAACCAAAAACAATATGGCCAACAGCAATGGTTGGTGCCAGCAGTTTGTCTTTTTGGTTATTTATTCCCCCTTCTGCCCAGGGAAACAAACAATTATAAAAAGAACCGACCCATTTTAAAGTCATGGATCTCTTCATCACACCGCGTTCTATAACGGGAAAATATCGGCAAATGACGTCACTATATCAGCCAACAAGGCCAATATCAGGAGGTACCGATATTTTGGTGCGTCACTAATAAGAAAAACTCTACTTAAGCTAAGCAGAGTCTTACTTAACTCTATAGACTTAACAGTCCTGTACATGTACAATCGACATCTTCAGACAGAAAATACATGATACAAAGACATTTTAACCGATTAATTTTGTAACAAATCCCAGAAATACTGACAGAATAGTTGATGGCTTCTAGTAAAATTAATCCAAATTTGATTCAGAAATCTTCAGAATACTTGTGAAAACATCCTGCCAGCCTTCTGTAACATATCACATGGTTCATTCAAGCTTTAATTAAACATTAACAAGGGGAGCATAGCCATGAGGCACTTCACTAGTGATTTCAAAGGGTGCACTAAGAGCACCCTCTTTATCCAAGTCTGGATCTACAGTTTGCTGGAAAACTAAGGCATTTGGGCTCAAGTTAAAAAAAAAAAAAAAAAAAAAAAACTTTGCAGATCTTCAGCAAAAATGCTAATGTCACTAATTACAATTCATGAAACACTTGAAATATGTTCAAAGACACTCCAACATATTAACAGTGATGTAACTATAAAGCCATACAGGTACCGTACATGATGTCCTGTCCCTCCTTCAGAACCAAAAAGAGGCGTCTTCATCAGAGAGCACAAGTCAGATCAAGTTTTAATGTCATAGGGGTCATGTGTGAATGACAGCCCTCTGGACCTCTGTAACCTTTAGAAAAGATTACAGTTGGCTCAAATCATTTATGTTGTTTTACTAGGAAATGTGAGCAGCTTACAGGAAAGCTGTAAATGTACGAGTTAGGTATTTGAAAAAATAAACATCAAACCAGAGCTGAATATTTAATTTCAATTATCTAACATTTCTGTTTATTTTTACAACCTTACAGAACATAGATTTATATCATTTGTTCTCTCTAAACAGAGACAACCTGATAGCGTTAAAGATAGCATTAAGTACTGCTGCAGGGACAAGAACTAACTGGCTCACAGCTGGCCGGGTATCTCTCAAGAGAGACATTTGGAAATCCTTTCTGGGTTACAATCGTTTAAGTCTGAATGACTGCAGGCCATCATTTTCTAAATGAAGTCCCATTTCAGAGATTATATTATTTGAGGTCAACATATTTTTATTTGAATTCAGAAATCAGGAAGGGTGGGAGCCCTTTAACCCCTTTTTGAGGGGAACTTTAATAAATTCTGTTGAGGACAACAGAGCAGCTGACAATTTGCTTACAGTGTGTGCTTAAAGCTTCAGGTGAAGTTCTGGCCTTGCGTTTCAACACTGAAAAAAAATGGAGATGCTTTGTGTTGATTTGTTGCATTTGTATTCAACAAGTATTCAGTGGTAAAAAAAACACGCACACAAAACATTGGAACACTTGTGTGTGATGTCTTGCCTGTGTGCTTCAGAATAAGATGGGTTTGCCAGCAGTTTTTTCCTGGACGTAAGAGGTGAAGCGTTTGAGGAACTTGGGGTACTCCCTCTTAGCCACGGCCCTGAGCACAGAGGCAGGAGCCCAGCCTCCTGGATTCACTGCACACAGACGACATAAAGATTATTTCCAGCTTCAAGCATACAGTAAAGAAAGAGCACTGAATCATGGTTAACCCCATTTTCATACATTAAACATTGATATAACCTACCATAATTAGTAAACATATGTAGGTAGCTTTCAATTTAAAGTCACTACGTTTGCATGGCTCTTTGTTTGGGCCCGCTGGCAGAAAGTCTACTTAATGCTAAAGAGGGAAAAACATGAGCCCCAGCAGTAAGATGTTGGCATAAAAATCTGGCACACGAGATGTTAAAAAATGAAAAAGGCAGATTGTTGCTCCTCCCTTAGCCACAACTCTGTTCCTGTTAAAAAAGGAGTTCTTCCTTTCTGCTATTGCCAAGTGCTCAGCCATGTCCAGAGGCTGTAAAGTAAATGAACAAACTAACAATTTTAAATAGAGCCTGACCTATATGGGATTTTTAATGCAAATACTATATATTTTTTCTTTCAAACAAACCAAACATAAAGCGATTTCCCAAACTTTTACTATGTGCACTTACTGGACTTATTATTTTACTGTACAAGTCATGGATAACTTGTTTACACCACGCCCTTCTCTACTCAGATCTGATGATTGTTGTGTTTTGTAGCATTCTAAGCATGTATTGCCAAAAAGGGAAGACACTTTGAAGAGTGATTCTTTCATCTCTTTACTTTTTAAATTTCCATTTATTGGCTGTTTTAAATGAAGGTACCAATCACTTATTTTGGTTAAACTCAAATTCTAACTCAAATGGTGATTTTAAATGTTTGGATGAAAATGCAAAATTCATGCACACCAGATTCATAAAAATGAGACTGTTCATGCCTTTATAAGTGAGCAAACTTAAAGATTTAGCAGGGGATCAAATAATTAAACTGTATCTAATGAAGTTAAAGTTTCTGGAGATAACACCACTGAAAAGGACTGAACAATCTCTCGCAGCAACCACAAACCAGTCTCCCCCTAATGATTGAATTGTGTTAAAAAATAATAACCAAAAAGACAGAAAGACAACAACAACAGTAACCCACTAAACAACCTAAACAGCACCCTGACTGCTAACATCAGCTGTGGCTAAAACAGTGACACACACCATTGGCGACATAGGTGATTTTACAAAGGATGTTGTCCCTGCTGATCTCTTTATCTCCGTCTGGTGGACTGACGAGTGTCTGGCAGATCATGGCAATGTTGATTTTGGCACGCACACACCTGCTGGTTGGCTGTGGAAAGCAATAGGATAGAGAATGAACAAATGTGTCAGCATTACACATTTATTTTATTTTATTTTTTTAAAAAGAAGAAGCTCTGTGTCAGATTTCAGGAGGCTTGACTGCTCACCAGTGCATTATCATGATCCACAGAGAAATTACAGACCAGCCAGGTGTCTGGATCATTCTCATTGCTGGCCATAATTTTCCTCATGGCAGAAAGGTATAACACATCCCTCTGAGAGGCAGGCCACACCCGCTGCAACACAAATTCTTTCTTGTTGTTTCAGATGTGATAAGAATGATTCATGCTCTAATCAATGGTGAGGTATTTAAGTAGCTTAAAACAGTGTACTTCACTGCATACAGTGTTTGATACTCAGCTTGTAGCTCTCACCTTGTGTGTTTGATATACAATAACTGCATTGTCCGACAGCGTCTCCACAACATTAAAGTTTTCAATGGTAGCTAAAGGAAGCAAAAAAAATAAATAAATAAAAATAAAATAGCAGTATTACATCAAATCCATTAAATATAACATTTATAAGAGGGTTTATTATACTCGTTTCCACCTCCACAGTCTACTGGACTAGTGTTGCACAATTCAGTTTAAAATAAGGATTATTTATCTCATACTGAGCTCTGGCGCAGCCCTCAAGTTCAGCCTCAATCTCAAACAAATCATTTTCTCTCCCCCTTCCCTTTCAACCAGCTTTCTTTTGATTGGCTGCTTCTTGTAAACTGGGACCCTCTTTTCCTTGTAATATGGCGGTGTTTGTCACTGCTGATAGTGTAATGCTTCTGATACACCCACCAAATAAGAAAACACAGACCACTTAAGCACACATATCTCATATCCACTCTCTTTGTAATCACAGATCAAAGAGTATATAAAAAAATAAATAAATATGAAAGTGAACATTTAGAGTTCACTTTCATATTTACAACACACCACTACAACAGC